ATTTCTAAGCTGAATAGATTCCTCGACTCAAATTACATGTAACTGCATTATTTTCTCAAAAATGACAAAAAAAAAAAATTCACTGATTTTCTCAGATGATGTCCCATATATGACTTTTTATATGTGTGATCAACTATGTTTGTGTTTATTGAAATTTGTAACACCCCAATGATTATAGTATTAAAGAATTTACAGCAAATGTAAAGAAAATAGAGTATGATGTTTTATCTTTTTCTCAGAAAGATTGTATTATTGATCTCTGTGTAGGGTTATTATTGAATAGATTGTAAGTAATATAATATAATCTACCTAAAAAATAACTTTTTTTTAAAAAATTTTTTGTTCTAATTGATGTGTTAGTAGTTTGTTTTATTTCAACCAATCAAACAATTATTGAGCTTGATTTACCTGAAGATTTCTTTAAAAATGCCATTTATTTTGAAATATTCAATTATTTGTTTAAAAATGATAATTATTTTCTAAGATGTGGAAGGTAAGTGAATAAATATTATTACTATTATACTTTTTATTATTGCAAATAATAATTGTTTATTCCAATTATTAATTTATTAATAGTGAATTAGAATCCAATAAAAAGCAAATAAATGAATCACTCAATTGTGATGAAAAAACTAAAATTGGTGTCTATCCTGATATTTTTATAAACTTATCTCTATGATTTAGAATTTGTTGTAGTCAAAAATAGTAAAAAAAATCCTACAAAAGGATGAAAAAAATCAAACAATGATAGAAAAAAATCAATTAAATTGATGTATAACATGATTAATGAAATACATCAAAGGTTCAAACAACTGGGACAGGGATGATGATTTTCTGTGGTGATAAAATGCTAATTCCGTGAGTGCTAAAGACAAATTCCACAACATACCATGCATTAAAAAACACTATATTCTGTGTAATTTCTGTTATCCCAACATAGCGGGTATTCGATTTTACGAAATGATCAGCATTAGTTTCACAACATATAAATCATATACAAATGACCTGTC